TACATCCAGCACGCTCAATCAGGCCGTGTTCAATTTGTCGATCGTGGCCATGCCACTTCCTCGCCATGGCCGCATTGGGCTCTTCCGTGCCGCCCAGGTGGGAAAGCTCAGCCGCATCCGCTTTGCTCATTCCGATGTGGGATGCGGGATGCGGGGACCTGGCCGAGGCGATCCCCAGGAAGGCATCTACACACAACCATGCCTGACCAGGAGCCCCAGGATGGCGTGGAGACCCTCCTGGCCTCGGCCAGGACGGTGGCGCCTAGGGTCCCCTGGTGCGTGTGGCTGGGCCTCGCCGCCCTGGCTGGCGGCGGCGGGATCCTCTGGCGCGCCCGCGGGCGGTGCGCCCCACCGCCGTGGGAAGCAGCACTCTGCCGCGCGAGGCGCGTCTCTCTCTCGCTGGGGCGCCGGGGACGGCGCGCGCCCGCCGCGGGATGGTCGCCGACGCGAGCCATCGGAGCCACAGAGGCCCAGACCCTCACCCAGGGCAGCCCCACTCGCCGCGCCACCGTGGTCTCGCGGCCGCGGGGTGCCGTAATGGGCCCGGGGCCTCGCCCAGTGGCGGGCTCGGCCTCGAGCCGTGTGCCACTGGTGCTCCTCGTTTTCAGCGCCATCGCTCGGTCGCCTGGGGCGATGCGGGAGAAGCCTGGGTGTGGGAGGGGGGGACGCGGGGGGCCGCTCGCGTAGCCCAGATGCCATGGACGACCTCGCCGCGGCCCTCGATGGGGGATGACCCGATCACCCTCCAGAGATCGGCGCTCACGCCACGACGGGAGCGGCGCGGGCCCTCCTCCCAGCCCTGCAGGCGCCATGGACCGGGGGGAGGGCGTGGGGCAGAAGGCAGCCGCGTGCAGCTGGTGTCGGCTCCGCCGGCAGGCGCTCCCCTTGCCACACGGCGCCGCGCCTCCGGCGCATGGATGCGCCAGGAGAGCCAGCGGCATGCAGCTGATTCCGTGACCTCCCCTTCTCTCCCCCCCCTTTCGACTCCCCCCCTTTCGACTCCATTCTTCCTCCTTTCGACTCCCCCGACCAATGGTCCCCCTGGGGTTTTCGTTGGCCATGCGCTGCTTGTTACAGGACTGAGACTTAGTGGCCGAAGCTAGTGGATCCGCTTGAGAACTCGGCCAACCCTATCGTGGACAGGCCCGCCTAGACCTTCTGGGGAATGCCTGTCTCCTTGTCCACCGAGTCCAGGTCTGCCCTGACGATCACATGTTCTCTTTTTACTAGACTGGCTCCGGTCTGACGAACAAGGAGCCCAGGGAAACTGGTTCTCCTTCGCTTCTCTTCTCCGCCGCCTCCTCCTCCTCCCTCTCGGACGATATTTCTCATTGCTGCGTTTTGATTCCTGTCCTAGTCCTGAGGGAGGGGAAGTGGAGGGACAAGAAGACCAGATGGACAGAGAAAAGAGAAAGAGAGAGAGGAATAGAGAGCGGGGAGAGGATGGGAGATGATAAGAACAGAGAGTAGGTGTGCGCGGACCCGTGGGACGGGGATGGAGGAACGGCCTTCAGGCAGGCAGGGACCAGCTTTGTGATGGGTCCCACGCGCACCTCGGCGAGGCCTGGGGCAGTTCTCGCGAGCGGTGCCGGACGGAAGCACCGTAAAAACAGATCTATCCTCGCCCCCCCCGCCATCGTGGGGTGGGAGGAGGGGCAGGAGGAGCAGCGGCGGCGGCGTCGGCAGCAGCGGCGGTGGCGGCAGCATCAGCCGCTGGCTCGCTCAGCCCGCCGACCCGACCTCCTCCCTGTCCACCCTCTTGCTAGTTGCCGCCTGCGTCGCCTCCGCACATGTCACGCCGTCGCTCCCTCCTCTCCAGCGTGGGTGTGGCAGGGCAGGCGCGGGAAGCAGCGGGTGCCCTGCACCAGCGGGGCCTGAGCTGCCGCAGGCACCTCTAGCCCACGCCTTCGCCCTCGTGGTCGCCCTCCCACTCCTGCCCGTCGCCCCCTCCCCCTCTCCTTCCTCGCCCTTGCTCCTCTCTCTTCCTGCCTCCTCCCGCCCCCTCCCTCCTCCCTCCTCCTCCTTCCTCCTCCCTCCTCCTCTCTCCCCCTCGCCCTCCTTTTCCTCGTCCCCCCTCCCCTCCTCCCTTCTCCTCCTCCTCCTCCTCCTCCTCCTCCTCCTCCTCCTCCTTCTCCTCTTCCTCCACCACCACCTCCACCTCCTCCTCCTCCTCCTCCTCCTCCTCCTCCCACCGCAGATCCTCCTGCCGCTCCTCCCTCTGTGTGCCGAGTCTGTCATTTTTCTGCTTGGTCTGCAGGCGGATTTCCGTCCTGCACACCCCCGTCGAGCTCTTTCGTGGACACCCAGCGTCCAGCGTCCTCCTCTGCTCTGCCCCCGCCGCCTCGCCCCGTCCTCTCCGAGGTACAAAATCAAGTATCCCGAAAACTTCTTCCTCCTGAGAGGGAACCACGAGTCGCCGTCGATCTGCCGAATCTATGGAGGGGGGCGCGAGGAGGAAGATGCGGAAGATGATATGATGCTGCTGCTGATGATGATCATACATGCTGATGATGGTGGTGGTGGTGGTGGTCATGCTGATGATGATGCTGATGCTTATGCTTATGATGTAATATGATGATGCTGACGATGCCGTAGATGCCGCTGATGATGACGACCATGCTGCTCCCGCTGACGATGACGATGCTGCTGGTGATGATGATAGTGGTGGTGGTGGTGATTCTACTGATGATGATGATGAGGATGATGATGACGACGACGATGACGATGATGGTGATGATGGTGATGGTGGTGGTGATGAGGAGGCTGGATGGTAAGGTCCTCCTCTGCGTGAGCTGCATTGGGCAGTACCTGGGTACGCAGCCCGATTTCTCTGGGCTGCAAGTCCAGGCGCTTTGCCCACGAGAGCAGCAATCGATCTACCGACGTGCAAACACCGTCTGTGAGATGTCCCTTCAGTACGCTACGGGTGTACACGTGCCGATCGGAAAAGGCTGAGGGTTTGGGGTTTACTCTGAACCCGCACTGACACAGCCGTCCGCACCAGCTGATGGCAGCTTCAGGCGTGCACCCTCCACGGGAGGTCGGACGTTCGGGCCCAAACAGTTCTGTTGACGGGGGGGATGGTGGGATCGGAGCGGAGGCGAGCGTGTGGACGAGGAAGATGTGGTGGAGGCGCATGCGGAGGATGAAGAAAAGGCAGAGGAGGATGAGAAGGAGGAGGCGACGGAGCAGGAGGAGGCAGTGGAGGAGGGATTCTGACGTGTTGAAGTGCGGAACATGATGATGTGGAATGAGAGAATGGGCAGGAACACGTAACAATTGAGGCAACTGATGATGACTCCTGGTGCCGATAATCTTGATTTTCATGATCTGAAGGCCCGCTCGTGTGTGTGTGTAGTTGAAATATGGTGAGGGTGGACTTCTCAACCAATGCACCCCCGAATTGCGTTTCGCTCATGGTTCGGGAGGCTCAACGTTTCTCACCACATATTCTCTCCTTGAAGTGTGCCCCGCTTCTGGCTTGGGAAGCCACTCGGCTGCTGGAAACGGTCCGCCGTAGGTGCATTCCGTGTGTGCCCGCTTGAGGATTGTGCGTCCCAGGTTCAGACACATGTGCGTCCAAGGGGGGCCTTTCCGTGCATGTCTGCTCGAGGATTGTTCGTCCTGGGTTCAGACAGTTGTGAGCCCCAGGGCCCGTTCCGGGGGCATTCCGTGTATACCTGCTCGAGGATGGTTTGTCCCAGTGCCAGACAATGGTGAGTCCTTGGGCCGTTTCAGGCGCATTGCGTGTGCGCTGTAATATCTGTTGCGCTTTGGCATCGCTTGTTCGTCGCTGTGATTTTACAGACTGCTTTATATGGGAGCGCAACGTCGACTACGAGGCGGGGGAATCCAAACTTCAGACGGAATTGCGGAAGATGCTTTGTACAATTATTGCGACGCCGTACGTGGATTGGATTTGCCGTGCAATTCAGACATCGGCGGCGAGCGAGGGGGGAAGTGAGAAGGGGAGGCCTTCTCAGAAGTCTCGGAAGTCCCCTGGCCTTTGAGAAGTTTTCTAAGCCTTCCCCGAAAACAGAAGAATTCTCTCAGAGGGCGCGAGGGCTTCTGAGAAGTCCCGCCGCCTTCTGAGAAGGTCTTCTCCTTCTCACTCCCCCCTCGCTCGCCTTCTGAGAAAGCAATGGATGTGTACGAGAAGGAAGGCTTTCAGACGTGGGCGCAATTCCAGAAGTACTGCAAAACTGCTTTCCTGGCCTCTGAAGCGCTGGCTGGACAGATGGCGCCAGCATTAAGTGACATTGGGATTATTCTATTGCGCCGTGAATCGTCGCAACGAAGCAGCGATGGCAATGATGATGGTGACTTGTCCGTCGAGCGCGATACTGAGGCCAGTTTGGACGTCGAATCTGGGTTCCTCATCCCCTTTGCGAAAGTTCAGGAGCGCTCTGGCAGCCCGCACAGGGTGCGTGCCAGCGCACGCCCGAATTCCGCTCCGCCCCGCACGAGGGTGCGCCCCCGGTCCAGACGGTGGTGCGTCCCTGGACCGCTCCAGGTGCATTCCGTGCGTGCCCGCTCGAGAATGGCGCGTCCTGGTGCCAGATCATGGTGACTCCCAGGACCTTTAGAAGTGCACGGTGGTGGCTGTGCTGAGGAAGGGAGTCCAAGTATTGGTGGTGGTGATGAAGATGGCTACGACGATCACGACGATCACAATAATGATGACGATGATGGTGATGATTATGGTGATGAGGACGATGCTGTTGGTGACGATGATGACGGTGATGGTGACGGTGACAATAATGATTGCGGAAATGGTACTGGTGTTGATGATGGTGGTGGTGATGATGGAGATACAAATGATGGTGGTGATGATGACGTTATGGGTGATGATATGATCACGAGGACAAGCGAATATGGTGACGGTGGCGGAACTTTAGATGATGATGCTGATGACGATGGTGATTATGATTCTGATGATTGCGACGGCGATGGTGATGGTGATGACGGGGCATATGGCTGGAAAATGATGGGAGGGTGATGATGTGGGCAATTCGGAGGGGGCGCGACAGCGAGTGGGTAGACTCGTACCATGAGCAGGAGACGAGAGCGGAGGGGGAGGGGGGGAATACGAAGTGGCGGTGGAGAAGAATGATGTGGATCATGCGTGTGAAAACGCCGCCGCATGGGACCAGCCCCAAACTATGCTACGGACGGCGAGACCAATTCTTCACGCTTCGCGTATCCCCACCTGGCGGGCACCTTCCCCCCATCTGGTGTACCACTCTTGCAACACGTTGTTGGGTCCTCTCTTTTCCCCCCTCAGTCCACTACTCGCATCGCACACTGTTCAAGTGCACCACTCTTGGAACGCTCTGTTGGGTCCTCTGCGTGGCGGGCACCTTCCCCCCTTCAGGCACTCTTGCAACACGCTGTTGGGTCCTCTAGACCACGAGCACGACCACGACGTCGACCCTGACGGCGACCACAAACGACAGACGACTTTATTCCGACCAGTCGCACTCACGACCCCCCCCATCCAACAGTGCCAACAGGCCAGAGGATCGGAGCGGAATGTCACAGCGGAAGCGGCGGAGGCTGCGGAAGCCGCGGAGCATCACCCTTTGGACAGTCTGTCCGTCAGCAGTCCTCTGGCTGAGCCACACTCACAGCAGGGGGATCACTGTGCGTTGCCCCTCTACCTTTTCCACACCTCCACCATGGTGGCCGCGGTCCGGTGGGGTCGTTCCTCCCCGCCTGGCGGCCACCTTCCCCCCTTCAAGTGCACCACTCTTGTAACGCTCTGTTGGGTCCTCTGCGTGGCGGGCACCCTCCCCCCATCAGGTGAACCACTCTTGCAACACGCTGCTGGGTCCTCTTGACGACGACGACGACCACGACCACGTGCACGACCACGTTGTCGACCTTGACGGCAACGACAGGCGACCACATTCCGACCAGTCACACTAACGACTCCCCCCTCCAACAGTGACAACAGGCCAGAGGAAGGTGCGGGAAGTCACGGCGGAAACGATGGGGGCTGCGGAAGCCGCGGAGCATCCCCCTCTGGGCAATCCGTCCGTCAGCAGTCCTCTGACTGAGCCACACTCACAGCAGGGATACCACGGGACGACAGCCACCCAGACACAGGACAACGTAGCCCTTCGCCGGCCCCTACTCAGGCCCATACGGGAGAACAGCCACTGATGACGCTGCAGTCCTGCACAAGTGGTACATCCTTTGGCAGGCTCCTCCTTCCCACGGCGGGCCCGGCCCACTGCTGTGAAGGTTGTCCCCCCAGCTCCCGCGACGGAGTACGCTCACCCGTGCCCGCGGCTTGGTGCGCACACGCGCGCCTACCCGCTTCCACCACCACCTGCGGGTGGGCCCAGGTAAGGCACACTCCTGCACAAGTGGTTCATCCTTTGGCAGGCCCAGCCTTTCCACGACGGGCCCGTCCCGCTGCACGACGCCGACGTTCCCCCCAGACACGCCCCTGGCAACGCTCTGTTGGTTCCTCGGCAGTCTGTGTCGCCTGGCCCACCTGCGCCTCTCCTTCCTCCAGTATTCACCTGATTTGCGGCTATCGACTGCGCCTCCCCTCCCCTCCTCCACGCACGCTGAGGTGCTGAGCGCGCCAGTCGGCTTCCCCCCAACAGTGCCACGTCTTCGCGCACGCTCCGAGGTGGTCACTCCTTCCACGCGGCAGGGTGCGCCCGATGGGGCACTGGCGGGCACCTTCCTCCCATCAGGTGAACCACTCTTGCAACACGCTGTTGGGTCCTCTTCGGTCACTGCCGCAGGATTACCATATGCCGATAGGGCTGTATCCAAAATGAGGCAGCACTTTCCCCCCGCAAGTGGTGACAGTTGGCCCTCCACTGACCGACGTGGGGAGACCAATCCCAGAGGACCCAGGCTCCAGGCGGACGCACACCACTGGTCGCTCCCCCTCCTCCATCCATTCACCCGATCTTGCGGCTATCGGCTGCGCCTCCTCCCTTCCTCCTCCTCCTCCTCCTCCTCCTCCTCCTCCTCCTCCTCCTCCTCCTCCTCCTACGGCACAGGGCACTCCGACACCTTCCCCAGCGGTGCGGACAGTGCCCTAGGACGTGACGGCGGAACGAGGGTGGCTGGAACACCAGACGCAGATCGTGCTGTATCCAGAGAGGAAGGCGACGCTTCCCCCCAGCCTGTGGTGTAAAACCCAACGCAGGCACATACACAAGGATCATCCGGCTTACTTGCGACATCGCCCCTTTCCATTGGACGGACTTGCTGCCTGCGTAAGCCAACCACGCCATCTCCTTTCCCGCGACTGGTTAAGGCCACCTGAGGTGCTGGCTGGAGGGCCTGAGGGAGATGGTTCCCTGTACAAGTGGTTCATCCTTTGGCAGGACTCCCCCCCGCACGGCCAGTCTTCGAGCACATGAGGTGATCTCTGAGTGAGGCTTCCTTTGCCCCTCCTGTCTCCCTCTGC